GAGGCAATGCAGGCAGGACGGCGGCTAGACGAGGGTGTGGGTGACGCACGATGTGTGGTCCGGGAGACAACGACGGGTCCAGTCGTTCTGTTCTCGGGCCTGCACTTGGATCAGGGCCGACAGTCGCAGCCGGTGCTGGTGGCAGTGCATGGTGTGCCGCCGGCCGTTATCACGGATTTGGGGTCTGAGCCGCTGGTTGCGCCACTGCGTCTTCCTAGTCACTTTGCTCCGCAGGAGGTCCGCCGTCCTTTGGATGCAGACGAGTTGGTGAGAGAGGCTGTCCGCGATGTGACTCGCTTGGACCGGCGGGTCTTTGACCAGAGGCTAGAGCATCCACCATGGCAGGCGATCCCTCCAGTTCCATGGGGTCCTGCATCGCCGGTGTGGTCTGGGTCTACCTCCACCGGAGCACGTACGGCAGGAGATGTTCCAGGGGTTTCAGGTGGCGTCGTGGAGACGGCGCCACGTACACGAGACATGCCACCCCCTCCTCCTAGACCACCTGTAGGTGATCCGTCATCGTCGCCCACAGGCAGAGGCTCTCGATCTCCACACACGCCTGGGAGGTCTAGGATTCGGGACACTACAGCTGTTGTGGGGGACGTGAGTGACACAGCGTTGTTCGGGAGGACAGACATAGATTTGGATTCCACCCGCCCTGTCACGGAGCACACTGCACGTCTACAGCCGGGTTTGGGACCCCACGACGGCAGGATGACTGCAGCGAGGGAGGTGGCAGCATCAGGTTGTGAGCCTCAGCGAGGTCGCGACAGAGGAGTGTCCGCCGATAGCTTGGAGTACGCTCTGATGGCAGCGACGCGTGCCGTACATGAGCAGACTCCACGCAAGCGCGGAGTGCCTCCTCGTCCACGTCCCGTGCCCACAGAGGGAGAAGATGCACTTGGAGAGACTTCGGGGGCAGAGGGGTTGGGGATGCCTCGTGGATCGCGCCGTGCGCAGACGGTTACAAAGGCTAGTGCGAGGGTTGCTGTGTTGAGGAAGGCACGAGCCCCTATCACCATCGAGGAGGATGATCCTGAGACAGATGTGGGAGTGCGGGAGGAGGACGAGGACTATGAGGGCGAGGAGGAGGGAGAGGAGGAGAGCGAGAGAGGTTCCGACGGTGACGACAACCACGACGAGCACGAGCCCCCACCTCCTCCACCGAAAGGTGCAGCCAGACGGCGCGCTGCACAGACTTCTTCATCATCACGGGGGAGGAGGAGTTCGACATCCGGCACGCGAGGGGGTACGAGGAGACAGAGCGGAAAGGGGAAGAAGCGTCGTTGACTGATGAGGCCAACACTCATTTTTTTCCCTGCTCGCACTGAGGTTCGTCATGTTGTGCGGTCCTAGTTTTTTTGGTTGTCTCATCTTGTCTTAGTGTTGTTAGGCTCTAAGTGGTTGTGTGTGTGCAGCGTGCTACAGATGTATTAGATGATGTTTCCTTTGTTTTTGGTGTGTATGATTTTGGTACCAGTATGGTGTTTGTAGAGTAGCGTTGTACCAGTAGGGTGTTCGCAGAGTAGCTACGACACGACTTGTACATTACAGTTTCGTTTGTTTTTTTTTCGACATGTGGTACCAGTGTACCACTGCCTTAGCAGTAACTTGTAGGATACATTGCATATGTTGCATTTTTCATTTATGTTTTTTGTGAGAGGTACTTTGCGTCGTTGAGGACTTTTCATGCACAGTACATTTTCCATGTACAGTTTCAGTTTCGATTGATGCTGGTCGTGGTTGGCGTGCGCGAGCTTTCGTGACCATTTTCATCTGGTGTGATTTTATATATTTCATTGTTGTTATCATTTGCAATCTCATTTCCTGCGTTTGACGCCGTTTGTTTCTTGTACAATTCTACTTTAGTTTTTTGCCTGAAGAGTTGTTTGTGTGCTTGTTCTTTCTTTTTTTCTTTTCTGTGYTGATTGTTGAATCAAATTATCATTGTATGAAGTACTTACTGATATTTGGGGGGGGAGGG